ATTTACACAATGATGATCCTGTCTTAGGTAGGGGGTTGGACTAGATGACCTCTTGAGGTCCCTTCCAGCTTTGCTTCTCTCTGATTCTGTGATTCTAAAAGAAATGAAATGATTAAAATGGAGCAGATTTAATTTTGTAACATCTTAAATAAAAAAAAAAACAATAAATGAATATCCTGAGTGGTCAGAAATCATGTGGCAGTTGCAAAGAGGAGAATTCAGGCTCTTCTTCAACAGAACTATAGCAAACTAAAGGAGAAAGTTAATTTTCCAAAAGCTCCTAACTCCCTTTTTTATATGTCATTTAGGCTTCTTTTATTTATAAAGGTATCTAATTCTTAAAGATGGTTTAGAAAAATCCCACTTAACTTCTACCTTCCATTGACTCTAATAGAAATTATATCTCCATCTGCAGGCACCAAAATACCATTAAAACTCTGGCCCTATGTTACTTTGGCCACTTAGGCATTTATTGTCTCTTGCAGACATTATCTGATAACTTGTAGCATTCAGGTTTCTGTCAGAATAGAGCTGGGTGTAGCCAGTAAGTTTGGGGGTTTTACATGCAATTTTGGGCATGCCTTCTAATGTTTTACCGTAGTGTTTGACTAAAGCACTATGTCCAACTCAAAACTAGGCAGATGTTCTCATTTCAAACTTTGGACTTACAAATGTGTCTTTTTTAGAAGCAGGCACTTTCTCAATGGAAAATGTCCCTATTTTCCAACAGCAAACTTGCAAAAACCTGTTCTTCCCTCAAAATGAGCCTTAGTGCCAAGTTGGTCATGGAATACAGGGCAGTACCTCAAATCCCCACTATCTCCATAGCATCTTACAAATACTTTGCATGCCTGTATGCATGCTGCTTGCTTGAATTCGTTCCATCATTGTAAGGGTCGGAGAGCTCTTGTATATTTACATGGCAGCCAGGATACTGGAAGATTTCATGAATACTTGGTTATATTCATGGGACAACTGGGCAGAAGCTGGAAGGCACCCTGCTTCATCTTCAGCTGTTCTCCCCATGAAACAACGAGAGGATTCTGTAAAACGTGAAACAGCATGGCAAGGAATTGAAATGTAACATTTCACACACGCAACCTGCAGCTGATTTCAGCAATAAATAAACTCAAGGGTCACTGCGCTGACCCTGAAAATAGACTGAGAACAGTGTAAAAATAACAGGCCTTTTGTCAGACCTGTAAAGCAGAAGCAGCATATCCTAAAGGTTTTTATTTAAAACAAAATGTCTTGGCTGAAAAGGTTCTGTGCTCGTATAATGAAGGGACGGAATTAGCCGAGGCACTTTGGAGCAGCCATAATTTGGCCCTAAAAATTAATAGGAATCCTTTTCAGTCGGAAGCCCAATCTCATTTCCCACACTGTGCTTTGTGGTTTTATCACATCTTCCAACTGCTCGCTCATGTAAGGTAAGATTTTAAGTAACCGTTGCACACATTATTCGCTGCTGTCGTAACTTGAAACGCCTCTTGTATATTTGATCTTGCCTGAGCTGGTGGAAAATGAAACCGCCGGACTCTGTCTCGTTCAAGTTGCCCCCTCGAACTGCCACTTTGGAATAGTCCGTCGCGAATGCTTACTCTGGTACCAGGTTCTGCCTTGTAGCACACCGCCTTCCCTCTTTCTCTAACTGCTGCTAAGAGCAGGGTTTCTCTGCTGCCTGCAATATAGTTCTAACCACCGAAGAAAATATAATATTAAGTGCAGGGTTTTTCTTGCTGGGCACAGAAGTCTGGGATTTCTAGTACTAAAATGTAAACCAGAACCCTCTAATATCTATTTTCAATAGCAAGTTTCATTTTTAATGTTCCTGTTTCAAGTGATTAGACCCAGGCAGGTCTGTCATTTCCCACAAGGCTAAAAAAGAAAATTGAATGGGTTCTGTGGTCAAAAACCTTCTCATGTTTCTGCTGGAAGCTTGTACAATGTCTGAAGCACAGGTGAAAGAGCATGTTGGGTTATTTTAATGAGAGTGTGGATTTCTGCTAATGTAGCCTTGAAAATGAGAAATTGCGTAGATTTAAAAAAAATGGTCCTGATTTCATGTCTCAATATATATTTAGTTGTAGGACTTTAATTTAAGTTTAACTTATGTAGTTTGCACCCAGAAACGTTGCGTCAGCATTTGGAAAGAACACGGTACAAGAAATGTACATCCCGCATAATAAGAAACAGATCCTGCTGTCCAGTACAACATTTATGCTGACATGAATCCTGCAAAATGAGCTGCTTTATGTATGTCTAAAGTATGAAATGATTTTCCTGGACGGAGGATAAAGCAGGTTCTACATGTAGGGGACAGGGACGAGATCCTTGGGTAGGGCGAGCTTCAGAACTAAGCATTGACCTAACTTAAAGTGTTTATGGCACTTGTTTTAGCCAAATCTTTTTAGGTCTTGCACTTTAACTGCTGTCCTTAAGCAGAGTAATGCAAAGAATTTCAGAGGTTATTTATAATAAATAATTAACAAGGCCTTTTGGCATTGGTACCTGAACAACTCGAAAGTTTTCAGGAACTCGTTTTTAGTTTGACTGGCAGATGGCTTGAAGACATGTATGTTCAATATGATATCTTTTTTTTCTTCTTTTATTATGAAAAAAAATCTTGGTCTATTATCCAAACTTGCCTTAAAAGATATTTAAGGTACTTATTAGCATTATGCCTTATAGGTGACCTACATTTGCTAAATGCATAACAATATTTAAATTGAGAGAGTTTTTGAGACTTTAAAATTCTACTATTTTTGTAGCTTCAAACCTTCTACAAGTTACCATTTAGAAGGGTATTATAGCAATTATTTCCAGATAAGGTAAATATCTAATTGGTGACTATGTTATAAACATTTTTTTTGAGATTAAAACAAAGGATTCTGTGAAGGATTAGGACAAGTTTTAAAATATGCAATTAACTTGCCTTTCAGAGTATAGCTCTCATATTGAATAAATGCTGTCCTAAATAGTTAGCTACATAATTAGCCTGAACTTAGAGATACAATCCTTTTGATAGGGGATAGAATTCTTTCCTGAAAGAGACATTTGAAATGTAGTCTTAGTTCAGTCTCTTTGGGTATTTGTGATCACTCCCTTCTTCCCCACTGTGAAGACTTCCAGCCTGTTCACATAAGTTGGGCGGATTTCTGAAGGGATCCCTAAGCTACAATGTCTTTTTCTTAACGAGACGTTATTTATCTGAGTCTTCTCTATTTAGAGTTGTCACAAGCTGTGCCATCATATATGCATTTTCAAACCTTGTCTCTCTCCGTACATGTAAAAGTAGTTAAACAAATACTTGTAATTTATGGGCCTTGACATTCTGCTGGCAGTGTTGTAGAATATCTTCCATGTTAATCTTAAAGACATTCAAAAAACTAGAACTTTTGGTTCCAAAATGATACCTTTTATTAGACCAACTGGAAAATGGCAAGAAAGTTGTCCTTTTCTGCAAGCTATCGGGATCAAAGTCCCTTCGTCAGGCTGTGGGAAAAGTGTAGCTGGTACAAGAAGGTAAAACGTCCCCGTAGGTAGGAAATAAACTTCATTTTTGCACAGAAGGAGCTGAAGATGGAAGATTGTCCCTCTGGGTCCATGAGAGTATCTTTGAGCTGTGCTGAGTAGCTCTTTGATGTGTTGATCAGGTAGAATTCCTTCCCTGGAGGTGTCAGATGGCAGGCAGGGAGGTTAAAAAACTTCCTCGTTCTGCAATGAAGTTTAAAATCCAAAAATTCAGAGTATACCCCCTGAAACATGCTAATCTTAAGTTATTCATTATTTACTTATGAAATGAAATGAGTTGTAATTTAAAAACATCAATGTTACCACTTTCCCCTAGACTGTCTTCATTTATAAAATAAAATAGTAAATGGTGTAAAGATTTGTTCACTTCAGAAGAAAAGAAAAAGCTTTATTTAACTATAAAGTTGTTGAAGTTCTGTTGGTAACCATTATAGCCACCCGCCCTTTCCTGCTGCCTTGTAGTCTCATAGGTCGGTGGAGTTCACACACACGTTGGTCTGCAACCACTAATTCAATTACAGGTTTCCTTCACTTTATGCAGGTTCTGTATGTGCGTATTCACTCTTATGCGATGACCCTTTTTATACCAAAAATTCATTATATGCAGGTAACTTCACTCTTATGCGATCAGTGTGATGGAAGCCCACAGTCAGCTGCTTGGTGCAGTGCACCAAAATTTAGTCTCCTGTGTGGCTCTGTGCGCCTCGCTCGTTGTCCGCGACACGTGTTTCTGTAGCTGCCATCCCCATTATGATAATGTCCTGTGGTTGTGTGCACTGTCTGCTGTTGGCGAGTACCACAATTGTCTTGTAAAAGTGATAGAAATGGGTTTGGGGGTCAGTTCAGTCGAGGGTCTTGGAACATATCCCTATTTGTTACATTGTAAAGTGGGTTCCCTTCATGCGGATTCGAGTTATGCACCGTTTTCCAGGAACGCGTGTACAGCATAAAGCGAGGGAAACCTGTGCAAATTACAGCTACATTCATTTTGCAGTTTCAGTGCTGTATCCACAAAGACCAAAAGACAGTTGCAACACCTGTGCTCTTCAGAGTGAACTCTCTTCCTTTGTTGTCAACTTGTGCATAAAACAAGACAGTGGAGGAACATTTTTATCCTCTTAATGATCTGACAGAACTGGGGGAAACATTAGCGTAGCATTTTTGTGTAAGGAATATGATGACAGGGCAGTTCTGAGCAAGGCTAGGATTTTTACACGCTGGACAAAATGTTTCAGTTAGCCAGCTAATTACCGAGAGTGAAGTCTCCTTAAAGTGTGCAGAGGGTAACATGTTCCTATTTAAGCCAGCTCACGTGAAATACAAGCAAGTTTTACCAATGTTACAAACTGGGGGGGGTACACTCATAAAAGCTTCCCTGTAAAAAGTTAAAGCGTTGGCATATATCAGGGGTCAGGAACGTTTTTGGGGAGAGCGCCAAAAACTCATACAACCTTGACTTGCAAAATGTTGGCGTACTGGGGCAGACGGCAGGGAAGCTGCAAGGGGCCTGATCCTTGTTGTGGCAGCGCAGTCCTGGCCCCCTTCCCTGCTGTCCACCCCGAGGTGCACGTGCTATTGCATGCCACATTCTAGCACCCTTGCTCGGGGTTGCATATATGAAGGTGAGGCCCACACTTAATTTCAATGAAAAGTCACCTGAGCTGCAGGAGAGAAACCCATTGAATGATGATAAAGTAACCTTCTCTTTTCCTTTGAATTTTTTACTCCTTTCCTTTACTGGGAAGAAGGGGTAGAAGTGATAAGCACTCTAATGTACATGTGTGAGATAGTAAAGGATCCTCTGTCTGCTGAAAGAACAGGAAGGGGACAGTTTTTCTTGTTGAGTACAAAAAAATCAGTTTCATATATGAATGTGGATTATAAGTCCTCCTTTTCGCCAAAGTAAATAAAAATAAACATGATCTGAATTGTCATCTGTACTATATCCCCGCGGACAAATATATCACCAGAAAGACAGCCAAGCCTAATACCAGATCAAAGATAATGCTTTGATTTTTTTTTTCTTTTTTATATATATAGTATGAGAGCAACAATATTAAAAACATGCAGCAAATTGTAGCCACTTCTCACCTGTATTCTTCTCATTCTTCTCCCTGCTCTGCACTTCTGATCCTTCAGTTGAAAAAAGGGAATTGAGTCACACATACAAATGTTGCATTTAGTTAGAGAGCAAAGTAGAGGTTAAAGAGAATGTAATGCAGCAGCATGCTTTGACACGATGGCCAAAAGCAGCTGAAGCATCAGGTATAAAAACTGATGACTGAAGCGAAGAGATTCATAAATTCCCTTTAAGATTTTTATTTTAAACTAAAACTGCTGAAAAATGTGTGTTTCTGAATCAGTCACCTGATTCAGTCCCAATGCAGTCCATAAATGAGTCCTCATGGACTAAAGGGGCTTTGGATCAGTACTGAAGTCAGGAGAGTGATCTGTCAAGGAAAGGTGGGTTTATGCATTTAAAATGAAAGAGGTGGTGGTCTAAACTGTAGCAGAAGTACTGCATGTACCTGAATCCAAGACTACTTTGAATTTAAGATGATACCCACCTCCAATAATTAGGTTTTAGACATGGAAAATTTATAAGTTTGTTATACTTAGAAGTATAGAATCTAAGTATTGGAGGATTTTCTCAAGTTAATTCCCCCCCTCCCCCAGCCACATCAGGAAAAGCAGCAGCAGCTTGGGGGGACAGACAGCCTCCACCACTTGTCTTCTCTCTGGAGTCTGCCCGCACCCCCTGTGGTGCCTATGCCCTGTGCAGCCTCACCCTCTAGCCCCCCTCCACTGCTCCAACTCCATTCCTTCCTGGGCACAGAGCACATGTAAGCTCTGGCCTCTGTCTGGATGTGGGCCCCTGCAACTATGTGGCCAGGCGGGGGCCGGAGCTTGCATGTGCTCGGTGCCTGGGAGGGTTTGGAGCTAAAGTAGCACCTGACAGTAAGGAGTGGTGTGGGGAGGTGAGAGTAACACGTGGGCGGCTGCCGCAGCTCTGACTCTGGCACTGACCCAGGCTCGGGGCCAGTTGGAGCCACAGCAGCCCCCTGCCCCTCCCCTCCAACACCAGTCCCCCTTTTGCCTTGTACTTGAATCCAAAATGAGGGGCTTTTCTCTCCATGTTGAACGAGGGTGGGGGAAAAGACTCCTCTTGGCTTCAAGTAATTATGGTAGCTACTGGCTTAATTATCGCCGCTGCCAGTAAGTTTCTCCTATAGAGCAGTGAAAATGGCCTTGTTGTGAAGGCACTTTGAGGTATCCAGGGCTTCATTACGTTCAGCGTCCTGTCCTACTTTTTCAGAATAGCTCTGTCAAAGGCAAAGATATGTTCATGGTTAGAAATCCATCCATAAAGGCACTTTTATTTTTTTTAACTAAATTTCAAAAATGTTAAAATGTTCCCTTATATTCAGAGAATATTTGAGTTTGAAGACGCCTATGACTGAAATGATGCCAGATGCATGGCAGAAAACTGTGGGTCATTTTTTCTGAGGTTTAGTTAAATATAAGTATGTGTGGAAACTTCAGAGATGAAACTATAGCAGGCAATGTCAAAAAAGCATATCATTCTTTTAGAACTGTGCAAGCAAGCGTACATAAGGGGAAGATAGACAAGTTACCTAGCTTTTCATTTTGTCCTTTCAGCAAAGGGAGAGGGAGACTTAGTCATTGTATTTTAAGGATATTTAAACTGACTGTTGTTGCCTCTCTGGTTTATCTGTTAGGATATTATGTCTTGTAGCTGTGTGACAGGGTTAATTTTGTGTGGTTTTTGTAATAGGTTAGATAAGGTTTGTATGGGATGGTTTGGATAGGGATGATCCTGCCTCTGGCAGGGGATTGGACTAAGTGACCTGCAGAGGTCCCTTCCAGCCCTTATTGAGTATGTTTATAACTCTAAGCAACTGTAATAGAAAGACATCATGGAATAATCACCAGGCCAACATTTCTGAAATACAAATAAATGCCAAACTACTATGGCATTCTTGTGGAAGATCACCAGGTCCAGAAAAAAGAAAGGGAGGGGTAAGTGTAATATTCTGTAGGAAAATAGTTACAAGATGATGCAACCTAATGCAAAGGCGATGAGAGACTTACAAAAACAGAGAACGAGTGAAAGACATTTTCAGAATCTTCCAAATGCGAAGAAATGGATCAGGTTTAAAATCTGGGGGGTGAATTTCAGTTTTTAAGGGTTGGTCTTCCTAGAGAAACTGAAGAGCATGATTGTACCACAGTTATCATTTTACAAGAATTATAGCAGTATTATTCTAGGGATTTAGATCAGCCCTATACATTTCCCCACGTGCACAGGCCATTTGAGAAGAAGCTGAAGAACAGTTATGCCATACGCTGCCTACCCCTTTACACCATTTTCTTTGTGGAGCACTTGAAGAACCCATAGGAATGTGCCAAAAGGTCACATACTAGTTGGAGGGAACTTTTAAATTCACCTCTGACAAGAAGTCTGCTATGGATAGGACTAATAGAAATGAATAGACACCTACTTTAACCTTTTCAGTTTTGCCACAGAAAGCACCTACAATTTGCAGAAAGAATTTCTTGCAGAGACTGTTTACACTGGGCTCTCCACCGCAATGAGAACAAAGGTTCCACTAGTGAGATCTCGGAGGACTCGCGTCTCCTTTTCCTAGGTGACGTACTGATACAAGCTAATTCTCTAGGGCTGGAATCAAGGCATAAATCAGCAGTAATTCCAGCCTTGCAAGATCACAGCTTTATTGTGAACAGAAGGAAAATCAATCTGACACCAGCTCAAATAATAGCAGTTCTGGGATTCACAGTATATGGTACAAGTCCATAGGGAGGGGCTGCATGTCAGAACAATGGCACTTAACGATTCTGAGTACTTTGACAGACATCAAAGCAAGAAGAAAGGGAACACTAAGATCACTTCTCAGACATGATGGTGTCGTGCACACAAATAGCAACCTGAGTGATACTTCAAGTGGAGGTGGTACAGATGTTGCAGAAACGGTCAAGCAGTCCCTAGAGGTGTGAACCAACAGTTAGGGCTTCAACACTTCAAATGCCTGAAAAGCTTTTAAAGTTTTGATCTGGTAGAATATGCCCAAACTGCATAATAAGTAGTAGAGCTTCGTACAGGAGAAGGGTAAAAATCATGGAAAACAAAAAATGGTTGAGCACATGCTCACTGCTGGGGTGAAGAGCTCGCTCTCCATGAGGAATGCAAAATGGCAGAGACAGATTGAAGAAGCCCACACATTAGTGTTCAACTTTGTTGTTGATCCTTGAGAGGTTCGCTGGACCCTGAAGCAACCAGAGTGGATACATCCCTAGTGTAACCACTGATCTCCATGAATGTAGACTAGGTATGAATGTGGCAGTCAGCAGCAAGATTACTGTGTTTGTATTTCAGTAGTGCCCAGAAGCTGCAGTTTTTTGCAAAAAGACATTGAGACCACCACTGCCCCAGAGCTGTTCAGTTTATGGACAAGAGGCAACAAAGCTAAAAAGAGGGAGGAGGGACTAGGTTGACTGTGATGCAGCAGCGTACAGCATCATGTTCTGTTAGTTAAGGCTATGTTTCAGAGGTTTTGAAATGTTTTATTCGTTCATTCATTCATTTATTTTTAGAGGTGAACAAGACGATGGCTAGTGGGCCACTGATCTGATTAGTCATTTGTCAATGGTATTGCGCTTCTTTTTTGGTAAGGATAAGGAATTATAGTGGAAGAATTGTAATTAAAAAGTGAAGCAAACTTAGTAGGTGAGGGGGTTTTTGTACATCTATTTACTCTGGCCACAATTTAGCAAAGCTTTTAACATCTATTGAAGTTAATGGGACTTAAGTATGTGCTTAAGCAAACTGATGAATAATGATGCATTGCTGAATCAAGGGCTCTTCTTCTAATCCAAAAGTGGACGGTGGATGAAAATTTAAATGAATTTCTCAGCTATAATCTGCATTGCTGAGGCACCAAAGCTTGATCCAAGTAACAGGGAAAACTGAACACAGTAGTTTTCAACTCTTTAATGGATGTTACATGAGAACTGATGTTTTGTAAATTAACTTTAGACAATAGCCTTGTTGTTCTGCAACATTTAAGTCAATAAAAATAATGTAATAAAATGAGTACACATCTATATGGCACATGTACATTCTTTTCAATTTTCTTTAACCCGAGATCTTTTAAATTGGGTTAAAAAAATTACCATTGTTGCTAATTAGCGTTGGTTGAGTCCTCTTAATTAAGCGCACAGTTGGAAAGGAAACCAAACAACAATTATCTCAATTTGATGGTCATACAATTTGCATTGCTGACAAATAGCCAAAACACAATTCATTTTTCTTGACATGTACAAATGATTACAGTACTTGCGACATCTGTCAGCCCACGTGATTTTTTTTATATGCCAGTATACCTTAGAGGTAGATGCCTGCCTAAATGCAGTATGCAGTCCCATTTCTGTCTCTCACCTGCACATGAGTAAGTAGGTATATCCTTCCTTTATTGGTATGTGAGAACTTCTGTCCAGAATTTCAATACCACTTGAATGAGGTTTACATTTAATGAATCAACTTCAGATTTATTTAGCCAGGTAATCAGTTGTCTACTACACTAAGAAGATACCAGTAAAATAAAACGCATTGCCTTCAGGGAAAGAAAAGACATTTGTGGTGACAACTCAAAATATGAGAACGTGTGATAAATGGCTTATTACATGATACCAGCAGCCTAAGAAAAAAGTCTCACTAATAACTATAGTTCAGTTGCATTTATTTTCATATAATTTTGAGGCAAGAAAAAAAGCATGCTGAAGGTGATTCTGTGATGTGCCCTTACTTATACCCTTCCATATCTTTGGCCACAGAGTTGAGATCGTTGCCTTGAAGATCAGCGTGCACGTGCAAGCTGGGTAGCCTAATCTGACCTGCACAGTTCCAAGTCTTTTTGAAGTACAAAAGTTTGGACATCAGAAAAAATATTGGAAGGTTAGAAACCAGATTTTTACCTTTTGAAAAACTTTTTTTTTTTTTTTTGGAGTTTTGACACTTCTTTAGTTTCTTTTTTAAGGTGTTTTTTTTCTCAGGGATAAGTAGTATGTTGTAGAAGGCAGAGCAACTTTGGAGATAGTACGTTATTTTAAGTACTGTTTTGGCTGCAACTTGACAGTTCTAGCGTCATTTAAGTGAGAAGGGACGCATAGTTTGCTCCAACTCATGACAATGATCTGGATTCAGTGGCCAAAGATATGGAAGGGTGTAAGTAAGGCACATTACAGAATCACCTTCAGCATGTTTTTTTTCGTGCCTCAAAATTATATAAATAATATAATAATTAAATAAATTAGGCCAGCTCTGCCACTCCAGGGTTCTCTGCCTAACAGAAGGGTGAACCTTGGCCACACATCCGGGGAGATGCCCGTGGGACCATTGCAGCATTATATTCAGCTAACAGGAACTCCTGAGTGGATGTATTATTGGTGTCCCTACCCTGTAGTTTCAGCTTGCATTCCCATAGGTGGTTCTGTCAAAATCCTGCTGCTGTCTACACATAATACTTTCAGGTGCCCGCTGTTTGTTTTTTGAACCTACCTCCCTGGGAGTAAGTGAATGAGAGAATGTGTCCAAGATTTTTCAGTATAAGTAGCAGCAACTTTTTAAATGTTGGCACCCTGGGCAGAGATGCTGTCAAGGGCTGAAGAGTGGTGGTCAGGATGAGAGGGGTGAGGAGTGCTGGCCGGAGGGATTACATAGCTTTTCAGGTAGCTTCCCCTACCTGAGTTCGGCTACCTATAAGCAGGTGTCCTTTTTAAAGTCTGAGAAAAGTGAAGCATTATCCCTCTTTTTACGGCTGGAAGCAGGGTTGCAGAAATTGGTAAATCCACATTCAGACAAGAAGTCTGTGGCAAAGTTTTTTGCATTTAAACCAAGATGATTTGTGTTAGTCTCATGGTTTAACCAAAACCGCCCTCAGTGTTGTTTTTCATCCAAACTTTTCTCCTTTCATGCAGCATTCATTGTTTGTGGTTTATTGGTACTTCTTAAAATGTTGGCCACTTCAGTGCTGAGATAACACGCTTCTCTGTTATACAAGTTATCTGAAGCACCATTTTTATGTTAGCTCTTGTGCACTTGATAGATATAGATGTTTTTTTTCCGTAAAAAGTCCAGTAAACATTGTGGCTTACCTGCCACATATTTCACTGGACCACCTATAGTGTCAGCTCAATAAGCCTGATCCTTTATGTGGTCTTCACTAAAATACACTCAGTACACCAAATAACTAGTTTTCCAAAGAAAAACATTAGGGGGTTGTGGGGCTCTGTATACAGTGGCAATTCTCCAAGGGGAATGAAAGGTGCATGTTGGCCAAGAATAATGTACCGCAGCCGAATAGCTGACATACTGCATATTTTTCAGTTCGCTGACAGACTTGCCATATGCCACAAAATACTGCAACCTAAATCGTTTTTCTAAGCAATTTTATTTCTGTTGGGTAAAATGAACAATATTTTTAACTTATATTGTTAGCTAGAATTAAATTATACCTTGATTAATTTTAGATGAAGGAGGATATTAAATGGTAAAGTGAAGATAATCCATCTTGCATCTGTCATGATGAAAAATGTACATATATGGATGAGTGTAATCCATCCATTGGGTTAGAAACCCAGAACCCTCCAGGGACCGTGTGAAATCCATGTTCTGTCCCTACGTGCTGGATTTGGCATCTGCATATCTGATGTACCTAAGCGTTACATGTTTTTCTTGTGTTTAATTTTAAGCCTTCATGTTCCCTCATAGTTTCCTTTTTATCTATACATTTCTTTTCCTTAATGTGCACTAAGTTCCACCTCTAGGCAGGACTAATATATGCTCATAAAAAAATAGTAATTCCCTCTTTTTCTCCAAAAGCATGGTTTGGAAATACTTAAGTTTTGGTTGAAACCCTGATGTTATTTTTAAATGTAACATTTAACACTGATCGTGTGAAGTTGGATGTCCACCACCTGGCTTCCTCTCAATTTCCTTCAGCAAAATGTGACCAAATTTTCTTTGATGCAAAGACCGGTGCAGCACCATGTCATAACACCTGGCATGCGGGTACAGTGTTTGGCTCTAGTGCTTCATGCTGGACTCAGATCTCTCCTCCTTGCAATGGATGGTATATTCAGATGTTCCTGTTGCCTTATCTGGAGTTTTATCCAGGTATACCAGTGTCTCAAGTCCATCTCTGCTGAATACGTAATTCATGGCTTCATCCATGCCTTGAATATTAGAAGTCTCGCTATTCATTTCTAGCTTGTGCAGAAAAGACCTTCTCGTACACAAGGAAATTCAACCACATTGTCACCTTGAAATGATTTGTGATGCCCATTCATTTAAGGATCCAGTTCCAAATATTTCCATTTTTGTATTCCCTGTGGGCTTGTTCCAGTTCTTCCTAGTTCATTTAAAAATTCTGAATAGTTTAATGGCTCGGAAGCAAGGACTCTGTTGCATATTATATTGTTAGTATAGTGTGTAACTATGCTATGCAATACTAGGTAATAAGAACTATATCTTTGCATTTTTGCGTTTTATATATAGGGTGATCATAAGTCTTGGTTTGGCTGGGTCACTCCAGGATTATGGACCTGGGCCAGAGTCTGGAGAGGCAGAGTGGCATGATGCGCCAGGGCACTGCTGCTCCTGTGCAGGAGCATGCTGGGCAGGCTGGAGCAAGTGACACATGCCACGTGCAGGTGGCACATCCTTGCACGCTTGTGCTCTCTCTTGCTGTCACACACACGCATGTAAAAATATATATAGATATATAGTCCTGGGTAATGTATGAACTAGAACACTGGTACTATGTAAACCAGTGTTCTCAGTAAGAGAGTTTTGGTGATCTTGTACCCAGCACATCATTGCTTTCTTTTTCTCCTGGTATTGCCTACATCAAAGGTTTGCGCCAAAGTGGTTATTTACTTTCTCTTTAAATATCTTTCTTTTTTTTGCTTTTTAGACTTCATATTTTGTATCTCAGAAGCAACCTCTGGAATTAAGGCAGGCTTCCTTTTTGCCTACAGCAAACATGAAACTACTCTTTTTAGTTCATTTTCAGGTGCTGCTGAGCTTAACTTTTATAAGGAAGCAGATGATGGGATACATGAAGAAAGGAGATGCATCATCCTTTTTTAAAGCAATTAAAACTTCCAGTCAGTTGTCATCTACTATAAGCAAACTCTGACCGCAGCTCAGCTTGACGTGAAGTTGAATGAGGTGTTCTAATGCCCTTTGACCTGCCCTTAGAGAGGGAAGAGTAAAAGAGGCAGAAGGCTGTCTTATAAGTACAAGCTCAAAATGTGTGCATACAATAGTGGTTCTGGATTACTCTGTTGTCATTATAACTGCATTTACAATTTAATGCCACAGGGACTTAAATAGCTCCAACAAAGTATAAGTCTTAAATTAACACAAAAATGTTGCACTACTTTCCTTTGTCTCTCTTCCCTTCCCACCCAGAAAGCATTACAGTTGGCCAGAAGGCAGTCAGTACCCTTCATATGTTAAAACTTCTGTATAGAAGATGGATGTTGGATAACAAACTGGATAAGTCGCTGTGCTGATCTCCTCGGGGTAATGGTAGTAATCAATAAGGAAATTTTTTTCTAAAACGAGCGAGCTGAAATAGCGGCCTGACTAGCATCTATTCCAAGTGGTGTTCGAGTGAACAGAAATTAGGTTCCTTGACGTTCTTTTGAAAATAGGGAATAGTATAGTGCTGTGCACAGAGTAAAGTTATCCTGAAACAGGAGCCAGTCAGTGTATCCACATTCCCATAACTCCACAGCAGACAAACTGTCACATAAACCACAGAGTTATGCTATGACGCTTGGGTTTCTAGAACTTTGTTGCGAGTAGAACGTGACAAGTCGTTTCCGATGACCATTTATACGAAACCACGGCGAGAATCCACACAGAATATGCAAGTTTGTTCTGGTATTTCAAGATGGTGAAATTCCCCCACCAGACTTTCTTTCTTCAGATGCTGAGATAACTCTTAATGTTTTGCTGGTACATTTCCATGAAGAGCTGCATATGGTTTCTGTTCTAGGAATCTGACTTGAACTTACATGTGGTGTCTGTTTTAAAATATGGTTGAGAATTATCTTTTGCTTTTTAATGCCTAAAATATATATTTAAAAAAAGAAATCTCCTATGGCAGCACACTGATAGAAAGGTCAGGAAAGAATCATTCTGTGTGGGAAGGAAAGCATTAAGTCACTCATGCAAAGGTCATTTACCGTGGCTGTAAGCTTTTATGAGACTCTATCACTTTGCTGACAAGGTCAACTTGATATTGATCAGCTGGATATTTCCTTTAGTTACAAAGAAGCCAGTTACTTGAAGAAACCTGTATAGACACCCTGGCAATATTGTTTTAAGCCATGCTTTAGCCGAGTGAAGTCTTATTTCTTTTTTTTCCCCCTTAATTTCAATGCAGGGAAGGTATAAAACGCGAACTACAAGTGGCAGGGTTTATCTTAACACTTCAGCATTGATTTGAATGTGATTGATTCTCTTAACCCCAGAATAGCTTGAAGAATCAATTTTTTTTTCTCATGTATTCTTGTATCGTGAAAATATTACGCACTGAAACTTTTTATCAAGTGTTTTGCCACTTCTTAGAAATAGCAATTTATCACCTGTCTTCAGATCAGATAAGGTGGTAGTTGGTGTTCATGGCATGCTCTGCCACGTGGGCAGATACAGAGCCACAGAGCTGTGCTTATCAGCCGGGTTCGTTTGCCACCTCCTCCCCCAGCTAAGTTGTAGCTCGGTGATTCTCAACCAACTACTGCTGAGCCCAGTAACATTATGGAGGAGCGCCTGGAAGTTACAAAGGTTGAGAACAACTGTACAAGCAGAATCCACCTTGGGAAGACTGCAGAATAGGTCAACCACCAGGTTCTTCCACAATAAGGACCTTCGTGCATGTGTTGAGAAGGGTCAAGGTGCTGAGAGGCTAGTACCAGGTTTTGTGCATCTCTGAGCTGCGTACGAGAGGTGAACAGAGAAATGTACGTTTTTACACAGTAACAACTTTTTTTTTAAAACACCCCGGAGCTGCTTCAATAGATGAAGTGCATTGCACAAGCTTGAGTTTCCTTCCATGACTTCATTTCCCCCCCAAAAACTTCCTGTATGGCAACCTCATATTCTCTTCTGTTTCAGAGACTCCCTAAAACCTCCCTCGCCTACTCCCCCATGACAAAGGATGTCTGTGCTCTCTCATTCTCTCATGCCCCATCTGAATCTCATTGTAGGCTTGCCCCATTTTGACCTTCCTCATCATCCTGAGTATTTTCTATCTGCCACCATTTCCCTTTGTCCCATCTCCCCTACTCGTTGTCTCCCCCCCTCCCATTCCATTACTCCTACATGCTAGCGACTCGGTCTGCCCCATGTTTTCCTCCTCCGTCTTCCCTTTTTCAGAGGGTTCTTCATTTTCATTCCTTCAAGGGCTTCTTTTTGCCTTTCATCTTCTTCTACCCCTCTTGTGCCCCATGCCAATGGTTCTTGTTACTCCTCTTTTCCTACCCCTCTCCCAGGATTTTTAATTGTGTTTTGTTTGGTTTTGTTTTGCTTTCTTTTTTAGGATTTCAACATTAGAGTGGTGCTGGGGCTGATGAGCAAAGCAGGAATGGTTTTTGATCTATAGACGGCTGCAGTAGTATTTAAAGTTGTTGACTCTGCCAAATAGATGCAGATGCCTTCCCATTTCTCTTTTGTGGTTTTTTTTCCTCCCTAACTTTCCCCAAAGCAAATAGGGTTTGGGGTTCTGGAGCCTAGACATTTCTCTGACATTTTGGGGTTGATTGGGCATGACATTAAAAGATATCAGAGTGCAAGCTGAGAAAGGTTGGGTATTAAACCGTAAGGCTGAGTATTAGAGTTTGCTTTTCTCTGTCAACAGTGCAAAATCAACCAAAAGCTGTAGGCTGAACCTGTTGAGCAAAATTTTTCCCATAACCTCCAGGGTCTAAAATATTACCTGCCTTTTACTTTTATGTAGTAATGGGCTGCTTCTGTTTGTAGTGTTAAATTTTCAAGATAAACATTTTTATGTTCGCATGCTTGTTTTTGTTGCATCATTTTTTTCTCAAAAAGGTGAATTGCTGTGCCATGACTGTCAGTATTTTGCCATGAATCTTCTCCTAAAATTACTAGCTAATGACAGAGGCACGAGAGCAAGATTATAGGCTTAGGCACTGGATAGGTAACTACAACTCCTGACTTAATGGCTCTGGAACTAGCCAAGGCATCAGTGAATTAAGAAGTTTGACTGGAGAATACTAATATGCTTCTATTGCTATGAGCTAGCAATAGTTTGAAAAACTTGTTTCCTTTAAAAGGTGTGTTTTATTACTGTTTTAATATTGTACAGTGTTAGGGGTCTTCTTCTTGCTAACCATCTTATGCCAAATACAGTTAGTGGGTTTTGGGGGGTTTTTTTTTTTCTTTTTAGAATGTCAAAAGCTGTAACTGGTTGATTGTATGTGTTGATTTACACAATGAAACCCTCCTTTAGCATTCCTTCCCCGTCTCTTTTGTGGGTTAAAAAACCCCCAAACAAGCAGATTGCCCCATCTGAGAGCATACAAAGATGAACATCTTTAGGGAAAGAAATCAGTTGTAACCATTAATTTTAAGCCATATTGACCACTTAAGCTTAATGCTGAAATGATATTTTAAAATGTTGTGCTTGGAGCATAGGAAAACATTTCTGTTGCATGGTCTTGCAGTATTTCATTTGGTTTCAAGGATTTTTCCCCAAAGCTATTTTCCTGCGGTTCTTGAAAAACTATTGGTCAGATATTTACCTTTAATACGTTGACGTGGTTTAAAGGATTTGCCTTGCGAAGTGTAAAATCTGGCTGTGATGACCTAAATGCTCATGTGTAACGTGAAAAATGGGATTTTGTCTTTTCTAGGACCACTTTCATAAGGAGCTCCTATTCCTTGTTTTCATGACTGAACCTACATAACCAGACATGGAGCAGATGGACTGCAAACCCTACCAGCCGCTCTCTAAAGTTAAGCGCGAAGTGGATCTAACTTACACAAGTTCTTCGGATGAAAGTGAAGATGGGAGAAAACAAAGACAATCCTATGACTCCCGAGAAACTCTGAACGAGTATGGCCAAGAACTGAGACTGAACTATAACAGCCATAGCAGGAAAAGAAAAGCTGTTGACCAGTCCGCTCAAGGTACATGGGTGATTTTTGTTTTTGCTATTTATGAAAAATAACATGAGAGAACAGAAGTACAACTGCATGCAAGCAGTCTCTTTGCTTTCAAAGGTATGCAGTGCCCACCATAAAAAAAAAATGCTGTCTTTTGACAGCTGATTCTACAACCCAGTATCTCAGAGACTGCAGTTATTTTTCTCAAGTAATTTCCTGCTATTACCTTCCAAGAATATAGAATTACTATGGTATCTCCCAGACCACAGTATGGCAAATGCGTTGGTAAATCCTGTTTAAGTGGGGGGCTACTTTGATTACTGGTTGGTAATTTACAGCTCTTACATATGGTGTGTGGATTTGTTCCAGGTACCAAATCAGCTTTGAGGCTGCGTGTTATCTGTACATGCGTTTGTAAGGCTTATGTTTGAATTCACATGCAGCAATCCTCTTAACTAAAATTTGTCTAATCCTGCAAATAGCCAAGTCATTTACAAACTAAAGGATGAAGAATGTATTATGAGGACAAAACAAGCAGTTAAGGGTGGGTTGGTTGGTTGTTTTTTTTGTCTTGTTTGATGTGGGCATAAGTTACAGCAAATATTTGAGCGCTGATGACATTTGAACCTAGGCTAGAAAAGGCCAGTGTTTGGAGAAACGTAAATTGAAAGCTGAAACGGGGTGGAAAAGAATGAAGGAGAAGAGCAGAAATGTTCACAGTATTTCCCTATGACTCCTTGCTGCAGCAATCTGTTTAGCACTTTGTACAATATCTTTGTCACCTGCATCTCGCTCTCAAGGTGATGCCGCTCGGTGCTGTACAGGGAGATCCCAGGGTGCAAGTGTACATCTTAAGCAAGGCCTCTCCAACTCCTGTCCCCATAATGTAATTAAAATGGCATCAGTTCTGCTGAGAGCAGGGACCCTCTTAACTTACCGAGAAATCAGATTGGCCCCTAAGAACATAATTTGTATATCTGCATCAGAAGTTTGCCACTAGTGAAGACTCCTATGTGGCTAGAGCAGGGGGTCAGCAACACCCTAACCTCAACTTGTTGGTGTGCCAGGGGCGGGGAAGCCACAAGGGGCCCGATCCTTGTTGCGGCAGTACAACCCTGGCCCCTTCCCTGCCGTCTGCCCAGAGGCGCACATGCATCCAGTGCCAGCAACGAGCCGGGCCGGGGCTCTGCAGACTTTGGTGCAGTGGCTTGTAGCTTCCTGGCTGCCTGCTGCGAGCAGCCTGGGCTCCGTGGTGGGCAGCAGGGGTCTGCCCAGATCCCAGGTTGGCTGTGGCAGGCAGCTGGGAGGCTGCATGCTGCTGCACTGAGGTTTGCAGAGCCCTGGTCCAGCTCTTTGCTGGCGGTGGGTGCATGCATTCCTTGGGGCAGAGGAGTTATGGCAGCGCAGGCCATCCACCCAGAGTCATGCGTGCCAAGAAAAATGCCTGCATGTGCCACAATCTGGCACGCGTGCCAGGGGTTGCCAACCCCTGGGTTAGAGAGTGTAGTTATGCGGCAGCTTTAACCTGTTCCACAGAAAGGCTTGCAAATATGGATATAGGAATCTGGCAAAACATATCAGTTGTGTAAAATGTTGTAGACAGATGTCAAACTCTGCTAACAAAGCGCATCGTGCTCTAAAGGATTGAAATATGACTTCGTAATGTGCCAATATGATTAAGAGATATGACTTTTGAGTCATTTAGATAGTCAGGCTCCTTTGTTTATCTAAAGGATGATAAACCTACAATATATTTTCCTGGCAAGAAAAATGTATGAAGTGATTCCTGTCAGACCAAAGCCATGTGATTTCTGGCAGACCCAGTCTAGTATTGTTCATGGTGCTTGGCAACCTAGTAAATTAACTCTGGGCAAGACTGGTATGAACAGTATGACAGTTGATAATTGAAAGAGATGTGATCGAACTGGCAGAACCCATCAGCTAGATTGCTCCTGCTAAGAAACACCTAGATGATTCTGGTTAGGAAAAAATAACTAACTCCTTGCAGGATGTGCAGTCTATGTGGATCTTACTTTGTGGCACTTGCATGTTGGTAGAACTGTATTATTGTAAAGGAATGCTATTTGTATTGCTGCAAATAAAGAGTAAGAATCAGACTCTACTAAATGTGGTAATACAAAAAACAGTAGACAATAATTAGCACGATTAGTAATACTGGAAAACAAAAGGTTTTCACAAGTTTCACGGAAGATTTGGTATTTTCTCTTCTTAATTGGGCACATGCAGAAGATCCTTTTATGTAGGTGGGAAAGATTAAGATCGTGAGCAGTGCAGGTACAATGGAGAAACTTGTATAAGATCCCCTCCAAATAACTGTACAAGGCTAAACGTCCAAATGAAAGTGAGAATTCCTAGTCCAGCAAAATTCCACTAAACCTCATTAAGTGTTTCCCAGGTAAACGCTCTACAATATGTCCAGTTTTCAAGACCAGTTCAATTTTACGCTGTCAGATTCTCACTATTGTGGTTTTATAACTGCTCAGCTTCTGTTATAGGTATGCAGTTAGAAGTGTTCTAGCTCTAAGAAGCAATAAGGTTTAGAGGGAAAAGTTAGATTTAGAGTGCAGAAATGGATAGTGCAGTTTGTTATGCTTGGAGTTTAGCAAATTTAAACTTCCCAAGAAAGAAGATTTAAACGCACACAACTTTGATTTCATGTGAACAGTCAGAAATAGTTTTACTTATCAGCAGAGACGCAAATGTAAGGCATGCTGACAAGTCCTGGCAGGAAATTGTCCTGTCAGGAAAATGTCATGGTGCTTTTTTGTCATCTGTGAAGTGGAATATATGCACAGTGGCCAAATTCTGCTCTCGCTTACACTGGTGTAAATCTACAGTAACTCCATTAAAGCCAGTAGATTTACTCTTCTCTTTTTTTTTTTTTTCCTAGTGCAGATACGAATAGAAGTCGGGCCCTGTGCAGTGCATGCGGTCTGTTCACAATGGTTTATTTCTCTCTGTGCTTCTAAGGGACATGTAAAGGAAAAGAAGCCAATTCTCATTAGCTTTTCCCTATAATCTGTAATATAGGTAACATAGGAATATATTATAGTTCACTTCAAGTTTAAGGTTTCAGCCATCTTCAGGAGTCTACTCAGCCTAAAGCAGAATTTCTTGTAGCTCTGGTTTTTGTTCTTTTGAAAACAAAACTTTTATTCTGTTTTAAAAATAGTTCATTTCTTCAATTCTGAGGGTGAAGCTGTCAGCTAATATAGCTAAATGTAGCTTTGTTGAAGGTATGTGGGGGCAGTTAGGGCACCTATACACATGCAGAGGCGGCTCCGATGCACTGTAATTACAACGCGTTGGAGCAGACTCGATTAATCGGGTCTGTTGCAACGTGGTAACTGCCGTGCTCCAGCAGACTCACTCCTGCATCACATGTATCAACGCCCCCACACTGATATTTGGCTGCTGGGGTGTTTTAACTAAAGCTACTCGAATGAGCTTCCCCACTGCCATTTTTCAGTGCAGGGACAGTGATATATGTGGCACTGTGGGTGCTTTAATTAAAGTGGCTCTCAGAGCAGCTCTAATTAAAGCACCCCCCACCTCCCAGCATGTCTATAAACACCCTTAAAGTAGGCCCTGGCCATTCAACAGTTCCTTTTTGCTGTGAGGCTTCTCTGCTACCTTTTTTGGGACCAGTTTCTGGCACTTCAGGCCACGTGGGCTGTGGAGAGTGACTGGGACAGGGGACGAGAACTTGGGCCCACTTACCATTTACAGCTTCATTTCATTTTGGAGCCTCTGTCCTGCTCCACTAAATTGCATGGAAGGTAATGTAGTAGAATACCCACAGGTCTGCAGTCCAGCTCTTTTAATGCTTTATTCCCATCTTGTAAATCCGTCCTAGGAAGGGTAGAGGCTGCAATTCATTTAGTCTCCCCCTTGTGTCCTATTCTCCCACTAATGGATAACGAGGTTGCTTCCAAAAGAAATCAGTGTGATAAGTAACTCCCTCCCTGGGCTGCAGCCTCTTGGACCACAGTTCTTATGTGGGTAGGGAGTGTCGGCAGGCTTGGAAGAAAAGACTTAGGCAAACCTACTCTCAAGCCTTTTCTTCACATCCTCACCTTATTTGGCAAGTAATTGCGTAGCGTTCATTTGTTTCGGACTAGGTGGGGGATGGAGTCATAGTACTTTTAGTGGAATTATTTGAAGAAAACGAAGACTTTTGCACAACAAAACCAAAATACAAAAAACAAGCTAAATGTATAAATAGACCTTTCTTTTCCCTGAGAGTCTAAAGTTACTTCTTCCTTTGTAGGATCAGAAATATTTTATAAAACCTTGCGGGCTGCTGTCAGCAATTTTATAATGCTGCTCCCAGCTTTATAATGTTTCCCATCACCTCAGTAGAATTGCTTGTTACTCAGGAATACTGTATGTCCCTCATAAGTAATTCTTTTGATTAAACAAGGGAGCACACAACAGTGGAAAATCAGGGGGAAAAAGTCTACAAGACAAAGGAAAGTACATTTAGTCATTTAACCAACTTTCACAGCATATTTCCCAGCGTATGCTAACAAATCAAGCAAAAGAAATAAAAACACCTGCTCTGCCTCCCAAACGTTACAAAATAAGGTCATCTCAGCGTGCAGCACACGGATGCAAAAGATTGCAGTTTTTGCATTCTTTTTTCAGAAGCACTAATTTTCAACCGTGTGAAACATCAGCGATCTTACTAACCAAAACTGAAGCGAGAGTATCTTGGTTACCATTACTGGTTACAGAGCGTATCAGCAACGCCCCCCCCCCCAGCTCCAAAATACCCCAAACCTCTTCACTGATCTTTCTAGCCACCCTAATAAGCTGTACATCTTGGTTTACTTTGCTGTTTCTCAGAGCATGCCAATGATCTTATAAAATCTACAGCGCAGTATTACTAAGCCTCTTTGATACTTTTAAGTGCTATGGGAAGATCTATCAGAAATGGAAGCAGAAATCTGAACTGATGGCAAGAGAGTGACTAAGCACTTGGCACATGGTATGTAGGACAT